ACTGCCACCTCAAATACTGCAAGTGATTGGGGTGGGGGAGTGTAAATTTTTCAACAAAAAAATCAGCAGGTAACTTTTCATGACAAAATTCCACATTTCTTTTAGCTTATCTTTATGCTTCACTCCATTTTCTGTTATTACAAAGCTGACCCACTATGCAACAGGAAAGGACTGCCAATGTGTTAACAATACCTTTCACAAAACCTCCTTCTTTAGCATACAATAAAATCCACGAACATAGAGAAGTCTCTTTTTAAGGGACTGAGAGTGAGGAGCTAGAAAAAAATATTAATTTGTACACAAATTGTTGTCAGACATGACAGAAGACAGCAGAACTTTTAATATTAATTCCATGATAGATATTCCTGAAAAGATTTTCACTGACAAATACACTATTCTTGATAATAAAGAACGAGAGATGAAGAAGTTTGGGATATTCCTGAAAAGATTTTCACTGACAAATACACTATCTTGATAATAAAGAACGAGAGATGAAGTTTGGTACAATCTGATCTATTTTTAAGTCAAAAGCATCGCTATCCAAGTGTTCTAGGAATAAGTAATCTCTAAGAAAGATGTATTCAGAATAGTCACATACAGCAGGATCAGTTCTATCAGCTACAGGGAAACCATCTGAACTTTAAGTTAGTGTATATATTTTAATGAGGGTTTTTTTTTTGGAACCCCTCATCAACATGGTTGCACATGCAGCCTTCTCATCAGTCTCTTGCTGCACACAGCTTGGAGATGAAAAAAGATCTTCTGTATGAAAAGGAAAGCTTCTATTTTAAAAATGAAAGATATCATTCTTCTGACAGAAGTTTTGCTGGCAGACATACGCAGGAATGGATTATAAGTAACAGGATGTGGAGCAACTGGTAAAATGAAGCGGCCCGCAGCTGCTTATACATTTCTAATGGAAGAAGGGATCAGAAATGTTAAATGTTTTGAGCAAACCTGGAGAGAACTCTGTTAGTCTGTCCAAGCATGAATTGTTCTGCAGATTATTGTGATCAAAGGGACATGGGAGAACTGCATTTACTTCCTGAATCAGTTAACCTGGTTTCTCTGCAGAGATCCGGACTCCCAATTGGTTTCTTTGGCAATCTTAAAGAGAGGAGTCCCTACTGGAAACAGCTGGAGTGAGATGAAACTGTTATATCTGAGAACAGACCTGAGTGCATTCAGATATCCTGCTGTCATGCTAATGGCTAACAAGATTTGGATCTTAGGCGCTAAAGTCACTGTTAATAGCTGGTGAAGCCCACTTCTGCTATCAAGCTTTTGTGAGGAGGATTAAAAATGGGTTGGCAGCTCCACTAGCATGCTCTGGGCAAGACTTACAAACAGCTAAAATACATCTTGCCTGATGCACACCTTCAATCTCTGTCACTTTATTCTGTGGCAATCCTGCAGTACATTCCAACATGAGGAAATCACTGGAGCTGTTAATAGGCTAAGTTAGAGGCAGCCACCTTAACTGCTCTTTGATAGTCATTTTACCAATCTGCAAATGTCCTGTTGAGACCACAAGAAATTAGGGAATATATACAGACTATGAACTATAAAAGCACGTGGGATTCAAAAATTGCTGTGTTTTCATCCTCAGCAATAGAATTGTTTGCCTAAAAAAGCAGCAACAGATGCAATCCAGTATTCCTTTTATCAATTAGCAAATGTCACCAAATGCTAGGGAGAGAGAGAAAAAAAATCTCATTCCCTGGAATTTACAGTTTGTGTTTCTGAGCTAAAAATGGCTTGAATCAGAAATGTGCTTAAGTAGCTTTCTGAAAGAAAAGGAGGTGACCATCCACACAGAATTACATAAAATCCGGAGTGTCTCTCTTCCTTCCCCCACTTTACCTTGTCTGTCTAAATTGCAGAAGTTCTTCACAAGAAGACCGGTCAATCACTTTGAATTTGTGCAACATCTAACATCATGGGACCCTACACTTGATCAGAGTCCTTAAAAGCAACCAAAACACATATAAGTAACTTATGTTGCATATATGTGCATATATGGAACTTTGTGTTCCCCAGGGCTCAGTTTTGGGGCCGGTCTTGTTCAATATCTTTATCAATGATCTGGATGAGGGGATCGAGTGCACCCTCAGTCAGTTTGCAGATGACACCAAGTTGGGCGGGAGTGTTGATCTGCTCGAGGGTAGGAAGGCTCTGCAGAGGGACCTGGACAGGCTGGATCGATGGGCCCAGACCAATTGTATGAGGTTCAACAAGGCCAAGTGCCGGGTCCTGCATTTCGGCCACAACAACCCCATGCAGCGCTACAGGCTTGGGGAAGAGTGGCTGGAAAGCTGCCTGGCGGAAAAGGACCTGGGGGTGCTGGTTGACAGCCGGCTGAACATGAGCCGGCAGTGTGCCCAGGCGGCCAAGAAGGCCAATGGCATCCTGGCCTGTATCCGAAATAGTGTGGCCAGCAGGAGTAGGGAAGTGATCGTGCCCCTCTACTCGGCACTGGTGAGGCCGCACCTCGAATACTGTGTTCAGTTTTGGGCCCCTCACTACAAGAAGGACGTTGAGGTGCTGGAGCGTGTCCAGAGAAGGGCAACGAGGCTGGTGAGGGGTCTGGAGAACAAGTCTTATGAGGAGCGGCTAAGGGAACTGGGGTTGTTTAGCCTGGAGAAAAGGAGGCTGAGGGGAGACCTCATCGCTCTCTACAACTACCTGAAAGGAGGTTGTAGCGAGGTGGGTGTCGGTCTCTTCTCCCAAGTAACAAGCGATAGGACGAGAGGAAACGGCCTCAGGTTGCGCCAGGGGAGGTTTAGATTGGATGTAAGGAAAAATGTCTTTACTGAAAGAGTGGTTAAACATTGGAACAGGCTGCCTAGGGAAGTGGTTGAGTCCCCATCCCTGGAAGGATTTAAAAGACGAGTAGATGAGGCACTTAGGGACATGGTTTAGTGGGTGGTGGTGTTGGGTCAACAGTTGGACTCGATGATCTTAGAGGTCTTTTCCAACCTCAATGATTCTATGATTCTATATAATCTTTGCCAGAGAGTAAGATAGCATGTGACATCACAAATGTCCCCACCACATTAATAGCTAACGTTAATGTTTAGATGTATATGGGAAAAAAATGGATGTAAAAGCTGGGATGCTGTGATTAGCAGTTACTGAAAGTAACATTAACTTTAGCACACAGGGCAAATTAGGAGCTAGATTTAAGTATAGCATGCAGGAAAGGATTCATTCCCATAAGGCAAAACATAGTATATAATTAAGATCAAGCATTTCTTACTCTAGGCTGTATCTGCCAGAAAGAAGCAGGCATCCTGGCACGATTTTTCTAACATGCATGACCTGCGTGCTGCCAATTACTATTTGGACTATATGTATACAAGGTGCTGCCTAATCCGGGGAGTACAGCACAGAGATAAAACAGTGAATCCTGCTTTAAGCAATGTCTGTCATCTTTATCCCTAGGATTCTGACTACCACTACACTAAGAATGTGTAATACTCTAAATGATTAAGTCGTTATTTAAAAAATTGGTGGAATTTTTCACTGTTTCTCAGTTGTGCATGACTGTTCCCCAGTTTGATATTCAGCTTGCCTTGCATGCATAGATCCCCCACTGTCATCACTGAAGACAGACACTGCTCTCAGAGCCACACAGCAAATCTAGTCTGTTTTCTCTATATGTGAAGATCCCTAGAGTATGCAGAAAAAGCAGAGGAAAGACATACCGTAGGGAGCTCAGAGCAGTACTGTGTCCCATGAAATCTGAAGAATGCATCTTGCAGAAAGTACAAGCATGTGTCAGATTTGCAGCCTAAAGCACTTGATTTTCTGAGCAACACACTGATTTCTCAATATTGGGTTGAGCACCCGTTTACTATAAAACTAACTATATTATTCTCATTTTTAAAGAGAAAAAGGAGCCACTCATTTGTGAATCTCTCTATATATACTTAAATACACAAATTTTTTTTTTTTTTTTTTTTGCAGCTTAGATTCGTTTTAGAGAATTTTAAGAAATGCCAGCAAAGAAAATCTTGACTCCTGCAAACAATGCATAGTTTATTACACCAGTTCAGGGGATTCTTTTATATTATTCCATAAGCCTATTTCAACAACAGAATACTAATAAGAATTTGCAATGTACTGTTAGTGTCTTCACTCTGAAAAATTTATACAGCTGTCTGCAGGCTATGTGATCTAAAATATTTCATGCAAAGAAGTGAAGAAAATGAAAAATCAATTCTTTTAAAAACAGAGACAGAATCCTGCTGCTTTTTCTTTATTTCTACTTAAGGTTCACACAGGTAAAAACTATCAGATCTTTATACGGCAGTAGAAGGGTATGCACCATAGTTCGTGGAATAAAAGTGTAGCAAATACCAGATTCATGAATAAAAGAAGCCCCTCAATCTGTCTGCCTCAGTGGCTACACTTAATGATAGCCTCTTCTACAGTATACATATAATGAAGTAGAAGCTCAATATAAGGTGCAAAAGCACTAACCTCTATTATATTTACCAACTAAATATCTCTAAGTTTATAAGGTCAGTCTCCCATATTTCAGTGTCCTCTAGTAGAATTCTCACCACACTCCTCCATTAAAAACAAAACAATCAAACCCACCCTTCTATCCCTTTGATATTCAATGCAGTCATGCAATCCTGCACTGTTTGTGCTGTTGCTTACTTTAGCAAGCCATGTTCAAGTGGCATTTTTAGATACTTACTGCTTCTGCTTCCTGTACCATAATAGAATACGGAGCTGAGTCTAGAGTTATCTTTCATCCACACTGAAGAACAGTCATGTCATAGTGATATGTAAGAATTTAAAAGAGGAAAAAAGAAGGAGCAGAGGAATACTGAGTCCCGTTGTGAGTTCAGGTGCATTATAACTATTTGAATTTCAGTTTATCAGAAATAACAAGATCATTCTTCATCCTTCTGAAAGTGCTACAAGACTTTTAGTGAAAGTAGTTCGGTATCTCATGTCTGTTCTAATTGCTGTGTCTGTGTCCCCACATGCAGTACCAGGATACTGGTTTAGCACTAGCTCTCCATTGCACCATCCTACAGGGTCTGTCTCTTCTCTAGACATCTTCCTTCCTTCTTCCTGAAGGAGTATGGTTCAAATTAGTCTTTTGAGATTCAAAAATATTTTTCCAGGAAGTGGTATGGATTAACGACACCAACTGATTGCTGTGTTGTTTTTAAAATGCACACGAAAATGGGTTAATGGAAGCAGTCTAAAAGGTCTAAAAATATCCTGACTGATTTTTTTTCCTTCTTTCTTTTCCTTTCATCCTGAACATTGATAGGCCTTGTTTTCAGGCAAAAAACTCCTGTTTGCTATCCCACATTATACTGTGTCATAAATGCACACAGTTCAAGGCAACACTACCTCAGGCATCCCTGCCCAGTACTCTCAGGAAGAACAGATATAAGTTGTCTCTCCACCTTTTTGCTAGCAATGTCACAGAGATAAGGACAGCACACATACAGAGTATTAGTCAGAGACACCTCTTTTCTTTATCGTTCTATCACCCGGGAAAAAAGTAATGGCAAAGGAAGGCCCTTCAACATTTGCTACCTAGGCTGCCTTGAATGCATCTTAAGGGTTGTTGAGAGCATGAGAAGGATAGGCATTGCCAGGGAAAGGCAAGAGATGGAAGAAATTAAAAATGAAGAGGATGAAAAGGGCAGAGAACAAAGAGAAGGTGGCCCATACTTACTGTATCTACTTATCCATATAACATGACAAAAGGAAGACAGTAAGACAAATATTCAGCCCATTTATCTTCTGTAATTGCCTGCATATCCATGCTGTTCTGCAGGAAACATGCACTGTTCTTTTGCACTTACACACACATACACAGCTCTGGACTATTTATAGAAACGGCACAGGCTTTAGTGAAAGCCAGTCAGATTTTCTGAAGTCCTTTTAGGAGGCTTCTTTCTGTATCCGCATCATTTCAAGAAGGGAAATAACTGGTTTGTAGAACTGAACATCTATTCTTATGTTGTCTCTTATCTGTACAAGAGAGCACAATCACTGAAATAAACATAGATGCTTACTGGTATTTTCAAGGTGAAAAAGAAAAAAAAGGTATACTGTAACAGTGTTAGCCATAGTAGATAGCTGTACTAAAAAAAGTTGTAAAGAGATTGCTGTGTCCTTGCAAAATAGGGGGTGGACATAGCACGTCTTTAAGAAAGGTTAATTCAACAGAAAAACATACTGACACATGATTTATATAGGATTGTGGAAACTGCGTTTACTTCAACAACAAAAGCCAACTTTGAAGTGTTGCTCCAAAACCAGTGTAGAAAAAACCAAAGAAAATACATAGACAACTTTATAACCACTATCAAGATTCTCTGTTAGGGACAAGCGATCTCAGGAGTACAAATGCATTATAAGTTCATGCACTTAAACTCAGATCTTTGAGTGCACAATTTAAACTGAGAAGCCACAAAAATAAACTGCAAATAATTTTGAAATAGTAGCATCTATGTAAGAAATATTAAAACTAAAAAAATATCTGAAAACTAACGTCAATCATATGTTAATAAAGATGGGATATTTGTTTATTTTATTTGCTTTAAAGACTAGTGAACATCCATAACTTGAAGACCAGTAATGTGTACTAGATAACTTCCTTCTGAAGGATGAATTTTCAATCTAGGGTGAGTTAGCAATGATTAATAATTGATAATTTGTATTGGGATAAGGACAGTTAGGAAGTATATTTTCAGTATATTAATATTGATGAAAATACAGAATTATTGCAAAGATGGAAATTGCAAAACTACCTAAGTCTTAACCTACTATCTCATAATCCATCCCTAAAAATCAAATAAGCTTCTAGGAACATAACACGTGTTTGCAAGACCCATATGGTATTTTAGAACACCCACAGTTGTAAACTCAACTTAAAAGGGAAAAAGCAGTTGTTGGTAAGGAAAGTCTCATAATGATATACAATCTGTTTTAATATGGGTAGAGAGAAGAAAGGGCAGCAGAAACACATAATAAAACACAAACGCTAGATGCACACTTTCAGGGGCAGACTTTGATTCCTTTTGTCTTTCCCCAAGATAATATATCTATGCCAACATTACAGTAGATGTACAGTAGATACATCTAGATGACCTCAGTCAAGATCACCGTAGTTCACAGTCAGTGCATGCTTGCTCTGGAACTCTCTAAAGGGCTGAAAGTCTAACAGCAACACAGGGCAAAATCACAGATAGAGAAAATGCCGTTTCAGCACGAGCCACTAAAACCCCTGAGCAACGAGAGGGGAAAATTGGGAAAATAAAATTAACTTCTTGAATGTGACAATAAAATTCCTGCCGAAATCTTTTTTTTCCCCTGCAGTGGTGAGGCCATGCTTTTCTGTCTTAGTATTAACAAGTAGATTAAGAACATGGGAAAGGCCATACCAGGTCAAATCAAAGGTCCATCTAGCCTGATATCTTCTTTCACAGAGGTATAAAAGCAGAGGTCTCAGAAAGAGTATAAAAGTAGAGCAAATTATGTTTGCCCCAAATATTATCCCAGACTTCCAACAACTTACAGCTTAAGGGGTTTCTGAAACAGAATTTTCTACCTTAAGGATGTGTTATGAAGTATGCACATAAAAAAAAAAAAAAAAAAATCTTCATTTACTTTGAACATGCCACCTGCTAGCTTTGTCCGATACCCCCTGGTTCTTGCATTGGAAGAGGCAACAAGTAGTTGCTCTCTATTCACCATCTCAATGACACTCGTGATTTTATAACTTGTATCCTATCTCCCCTCAGCCAGCTTCTGTCCAGGGCAAAGAGTCCTAGCCTACTTAGCTACTTCTCCAAGATATGTGTCCAGAATTGTAGAGGTACTCAAGATAGAAGTAAATGAAAGATTTGAAGAGTAGCATAATTATATACTCTATTTCATTCTCTTTTCCCTTACTGGTAATCCCTAACAATTTGAGGAGACAAAGCATTTTAGGAAAATCTGGACATTAAGCCTGCTTTAAAACTGTTGATGAACAGTGGAATATGGAATCTTTAATATGTGCTGTTCAAACTGACACTTCTTAGGTGCAACAAAAGTGTAGACATAAGGGGAAGGCCAAAAGCAAAACCATCTAGACAGCTTCTTTTGGGGGAGGGGAGGGGAAAGAGGGTTGGGGGAAAGAGTATAACAAAATCTTTAACAGGTCCAATAATTAGTCAATTCAAATCTAGAAAATGCCAGCACGTACCAACAGCTGAGACTAACACAATACTTCAGCAAACGAGAGTGCTTGCAACATTGTACATCCTAACAGAGTCCACATCCTAGCTGTTGTCACTACTCAGACTGTCTTGTGTCTGCTCGTTTTCTACTGCCACATCATTTGCAGAAATCACCGGTATTGTGGCAGCATCACAACAACCAGTCTTGCAAGCACAGTTCTATAGCGCTCCTGAAATCCATGTAGGGATAAGACCATGCAGTGTCTCCTGTGGTCCTGATTAATTTCTTGGAAGATGGAGAAGACTTTTGTACACGTTACGCATATGGAGTTTTAGGATAAATATGGCTCAATATGGCAGTGAAACATCTTGTTTCAGGATATAAAAGTTCTATAGAAGATAGATACCAGTTAATTTTATAAAATGCTTGCAAATTAGTAGATACTCTAGAAAATATTCTTAAAGTCCCCTCAAACAATAAATTACTATTCTCATATATGCTTTCTTAAGGAAACTGGAAGAAGAACCGACAGTGCACTTAGACTGCACTGGTTTTCTAAAGTTGAAATTTTAAGAAAGCACATAAATGAATTACGTATTTTTGTATGTTCCGATTTGTTTTGGTTAGTGATTCTAGGATTTGCATGAATCAAGACTGCAGAAAATGGTCTATAATTTTGATGAATTACTGATGTTTTTCCTGTCCAATTTCTCTCATCAGTGTTGCTAGTAACAATCCTTGTAGTGGAAGGGATTGCCGTTGCACAGAAGACACAAGGTACAATTTTGGTTTGGTGATTTTCTTTCAAAAAAATGTAACAGTTTTATAATTTTTAATTAAGCAATACAAGTGAAAGAAAGTATTTGTGTTCAGGTATTAAAAGCTCTTGAATTACCAATATGAATTCCAGTATTTTCCATTTTCCCCCTATTTACTGCATTTTTTTCCAACTGAACAAAGCCATCCAGTCACAAATAATATAGACGTTCACTTACCCAGTTAAAGTTCTATGGTTTTAGACCTTAGAGGAGGAAAAAACCCACCACAGAAATTCATGTTTTCTGTATCTGACAACAAGCTTTTCAAATAGTCCACCCACAAACATTTTTGAAGCCTGCTGAGTGGGGAAGGCATCAGTTTCACAAACCTTATTTTCTCGTATGTGGGATTAACCCACACATAGGAGAGAATAATTCCTTGAACTAACACCTACAAAATTTCCCTGAACTATTTCTGCAGGAGAGACTAAGTTTTCACCCCCATAAATCAAAAAGCTGCCAAGATACTAGTGGAAGGTGATGTAATTTACTGGAGGCTGCTAAGACCTGTATCAGCATGCACTCCCTCTCAGAGGTCTGCAAAGAAAAACTGCATAAATATAAATAACGTTATGAGAGCACCCTGTGAGATTTAGGAAAAATCTAGCAGAAAACACATATCCTGTGTCTTTTTCTCTCCAGTTCTGCTGATAGCAAGGAGAAGGGTCAAAGGTACTTGAGAAGAATGTCTTAGAGATCATATTATTCCCAACTCCTTTCTCCTTGGATAAGGAAATCTGAACTAACAAAGGTCTTGCGAATGGTCTAGCGTGGTGCACTAGTTTAGTAAACTGCATAATCTCAGTCAAGGATCGTATTTCCCTGTACACCCAGATGACGACCTTTGATCTTAAATGAAACCCTTAGCTACCAGTGCAATCTACCTATTGCTAGTAATTTTATTGACTACCATTGCTGTATTTAGTGTATTTACATATTCATTCTGTTATAAGCATTCTGTATTCCAACAAATTATTGTAAATAGCTATTCAATCTAAGGGCCATGTACTTCAGTATACTCTGGAATCAGGGCCAAAAATAGTAAAAGCTAACAAATATTTTGGATTATATTTGCATAGGAATGGAGAAGACATAAGCCATAAAATAATGCTGCTGTATTGGCAGCCACTGTGACTATTTGACTTAGAAAGAGCAGCATCAAAAAACCTAAACTGGTTTGGGCAAAAAAAATTACTCCCTCTCTTCCCTTCCCAAGGATTACTGGACATACTTGATATTCAGAAACTGTGATCTCTTTAGGATATACCACATCACTAAATTAAACGTAAGATTTTCCTAGCTTATTTCCTTGCCTATTAACAAGTGGCACGTAAGAGGGCTTTCACCAAAATAAATTACTTTCTTCTTTTATAGGATATGTGTTATGTCAGTGTTTTACTTTTGCAAAGTCAAATTTGCATGCTTGCAGGAGAAATTTTTTTGATCACTTTTTTTTCGCTTAAGGTGGGCAAAATATTGGAGTGAATCGCATTCCTCCTACCCAGTGTGACAATTGGGTACGGACAAGTAATGGAGGACATTTTGCTTCACCAAACTACCCTAACATGTACCCACCAAATCAAGAGTGCATCTATATCTTAGAAGGTACATGCTGCATTTCTGTTTTGTGTTGCAATCTTACTGTTAAACGGGTAATCTTGAACCTTTAAAACTGTGAAATTTTACTTTACTGTCAAGTATTGTATAGCCATACTGGTAATATAATCAATTCTGCAGTCATTTGGTTGAACAAGAAGCTGAATTTGGTCTCTGAAGTAATAATAACAAATTAATAGAAAACGCAAACATTCAGGAATTAGCTACATGGAGTAAGACATACCCTCAGAGCCAGAAAAAGCAGCATCAGATCTACTGTAATTTATGAAGGCACAGAACTATTAAGATAAAAATTCTAGGTTGTTATCTTAATATCACTTCCAATATTGCTGATAACAAACTGCAAAAGATGGTTGAAGACTATATTCTGTCTATCTTGCAAGCAGAAAATCTTTATGCTGTCCTTTATTAATAAAAAAGACACATCTGACTGCCATAGCACTGTACTAAAAATATGGAGATTTGTTAGCGCTGCTGAGGTCACTATTAGTATTATGTGATGAGGACAAAAAATTTCATTAACTAGAACAAAACCACATTCCAATGCGAATATCTTGGATAAAGCCTGCAAGACTTGGGACGCACTAATTATTTTTTCCTCTTATTAGAATGCACCCAAACCCCATTGAAGTCAGCTAAAAAGTTAGTCAGCTTAATCATCAGATTCATATCAATTAATTGAAATATTTCAAGTAATATGTTTCAGTGAGTTTTTATTTGTACAGTATAGTACTGCTTCATAGATACCCTCATTTTTGCTTGTATGCATGCACATCTGCAGTTTTGCATCTTCCCTGCCAGTGAAGGCACTGGAGGGCAGATACCCTGTCCAGCTTCAGAGTTCGAACATACCAGATCCATTGCTGGATCTCCCTTGTGCAAGGCAGTTTCCATGGGGCACGGAATCGGTTTCCACACCTCTGTCCTCACCGTCCCTATACAGAAACATTATGGGTACCTGAGTGGAGACAAAGACCCTCCACAATTTCTAGCTAAGATATGGTCCTTCCTGCAGACCACTGCTAATACATGCAAACAGCTACAAATGTTTTTAACTTCTGTATAAGTAAGGCATAAGGTCTAAACAGAGTGTTAGAGACATATAAGTAAATCCTTTTTGCATTCAGAAGAAGCAGACAGCATGTGATTCTTTAATGCTGTCACTCCAGATACCAATTAGTATCTGAAAGTTCATGTAGCTCAATAGATGACAAGAACAAGAAACACTAAAGCTATTTATACAATATAAAGTCATGGTTCCAAACTACAGATATGATAGTCCAGTCACAAAGTAGCCATAGCTGCGTCTCATCAGGATTTAGGGGTCTGATCCAAATCCTGATGTTAGGCTGTCACTGGTTCAGAATTACCAACATCTGCAGGCACCTGCATATTAATAATATATATAAAGCATTTACACGTCTCTGAATATTCTAATAAAAGATGTCTCCTGCCAAAGGATCTGCAAATTTAGGCTTAATGTTTAGGAAATATACCAGTGAGTAGTTCTTCGTATCTTTTTCTTTTCCATTCTTTTCTGCGTCCCTCAATGTTTTGTCCTTTTTTATGTACTTTGCTTTCACAGAACACTGGTTTTAATTTATATCTTAATATTAAAACTTGTTTGAGTACCTTTGCATATATGTTAATATCTACTATATGTGCTGCATTAAATTTATGTCATTTCTGAATGTTCAACAATAAAGATCAGCAAGCAAAAAAATTCCATAAAATTCCATGAAAAAGTATCTTCTACACAATCATTTTTAAAATTTTTATTACAGTGTATCTGAGTTTTTATAGCAGACTGCCAGATGTATTTTGAGAATTTTCCAGTCTCTTTTTTATCTTGCTGTGTTGGAGGCCTGTCTCTTCATTATTTCATGTCTTAATGTGTTTTTTATATAGATCTTCATTTAATCTTTTGCTCGATTTTTTATGTCTAGCTGCTCCACGACAAAGAATTGAGTTGACCTTTGATGAACCTTATTACATAGAACCCTCATTTGAATGTCGGTTTGATCATCTGGAGGTTCGAGATGGACCTTTTGGTTTCTCCCCTCTCATTAATCGTTACTGTGGTCTGAAAAGTCCTGCACTAATTAGATCAACAGGGAGATTTATGTGGATCAAGTTTACTTCTGATGAAGAGCTGGAAGGAAAGGGATTTCAAGCAAAGTACTCATTTATACCAGGTAAAGATGCCTAAAATTTTGACCGAGTTAATGATGCTGTGCTCCCATTGAACTCTGTAGATGTGTTTATGCTGGCAGTCTAGAGCTGTATTTCATAAGTGCTTATGAAGGCAAAGTGACAATGCGATAGTTACAGTCTCAGTCCTGCTAATCCTACAGCATACTTGACTAAAACCACTTTGGAAAATTGACTGAAGGGAATTACAGGTCTATAGTTTGCTAGTGAAGAAGTCAGTTGATCTTGTTCATGCTGAAGGCTTTAGCAGCTTCCCTCTTTGTTACTCTAACTTGTACCAGTTTCACCAGTGGCAGTAATGGAAAGAGCATTTATGTAGACAAATAGCTGGCATTTTCAACAGCCTATCTTCTAGGAATATAAGACACTATGACAAGAACACCTGAAGCAAATCTACAATAGCACTTCCAGCCAGATGCAAAACATTTTAAATCTCCATTCTGAAAAGCCAGAGGAAGTATCTATACAGTCCAAGCAACAGCTCCCAGTATAACTAGATTCCCTCAGACCACAGGCTCAGACAACAGAATTGTTCTTGGCTCAAAGTACGGTGTAGTTTACAGGGTATGAAGGAGAGTATAATATGCTGACAGTGCCTTTAGACAAACAAAAAGTACATCTCCTCTGTGGGGCCACTTAAAACTGGCAGAGCATTCTTTTTACAAGAAAATTTGACCTGATGTCCATGTGCAATGCTTGACTGCTGTACTTCATAGATACTATACGTGTAGTTACCAGCATTTTATTGTCCTTTGGGACAAAGGACAGTATACAAATGTCAGCTCTACTACTACTATAAATGTATACACAGGCATAACTTTAATGTCATCTTTACCCCTACAGCACATGAAAACACTATACATGATTATGTATTGCTGCTTATAGAACTGTATACCTTGCTAGGGATTTAGACTTGGAAACTCTGGTGAAACTTGGAAACATGGTGACCAGTTGACTGGGAATAACGTGCTAAAATGTTTTCATAGGGACAGTACTTAGACATTTTGCTAACTTTCAAAACTAACTTAGCCTAGTTCCAGGCTGAACTTTAAATATACATTTAAACTGTATATTATTTTCACAGTAGATTGCAGCAACTGAAGGACTGATATTTTTCTTTCATCTGCAGTTACATAGAGTGTGGTAAAATATTTTGGGATTGTGAAAGTGGAAGGGGACATGCACATACACCTCCCACTTAAAAAAAAAAAATCAGTTCACAAAGAAGGTTGAAAATCTCTTGCAGAATTTTGCATATAGTGATCATAGATTTCACTATAGGTAACTAAAACAGAGGAGGGCAAAGAAGGCATTTTCTCAGCTGTCCTGAGTCTTAAGCTCAGGACTGAGGCATTTTAGGGGAAGTGATAAACTCCCTATACAGAAAAACATTTAGAGGACCACAGAAAGAGCCAAATTCTGGAACTTCGTTTGGAAAAGAATTTTGTACAAAACAGGCATGCACTTCTGCATGAACTAGTGCTTTCTTTGCATAGACTAACATTTCACACACATACACACACTATGATTTCTATGGTGATTTTTTTATGCCACAGCTGCAAATGGGTGCATCTTGTGAGTTTCTATGCTGATTTGTGAGGAAACACTAACCTGATCACTGAAGTGTAAGCCTTGGACATCCCAGCCCATTACAGACTCATTTTTAGCCAAGCCCCGGTCCCAGTAAAGTCAAGTACCATCAGTTAACCATTATGAAAAAGTATATTCTTAACTCACTAGTAGTATGCATACAGTATACTACTACAGTATATACTACAGATACATACACTACCTACACGTCACATTTAGAAGAGAGAAGATAGAGGAGCAATCAAGGTGAAATTCTGCCTTCATAAATGATGTCTAGAACCATGCTACCCGGCCTAATAGAAGAGGCATGGGTACCCAAGGAAAAAGGATCTTTAGTATTGAACTGTCCTTCTTTATATTCTTTATTAATAGCAATTAGCAATTTAAAAGTGTTGATATATTCTACTAAACTTCAAATTGTTCAGAACTAGACAGACAGCAATCTGATAAAAATGACGCACACAGAAAGATCCCCGGTACTCTTGTGGAGCGCCAGTGATTTCAGTGAAAACTGGCATAGTTAAATTCAGAATGTAATGTAGGAGCAAAATAGCCAATAGTAATTTTTGGTGTTATGCTGGAAATCTGAGCTGTCAGTATAGAATTACCTTATTCAGATAAGGTCAATCTTTGTGGAATAATGTTATCATCTAAAAAAAGATTGTCTCTGTACCCTCCAATTGATTCAGTAAACTTTCTGGCAATTTTTATTGTGACATAATAAAAAATGGACATAATCTTCAGATTATATTAAACCTTGAAGTGATTCTCAAGCATTGATAGCCCCTGTGATTCATGACTTCTTTCTATTACAGATCCTGACTTCACTTACCTAGGAGGTATTTTAAATCCCATCCCAGGTCTAGTATTACAGTAACAATTTGTTTATACATGAAATTTTAAATTAATATCATACTGCATTTGACAGCAAGGTGTGTGTTCTCCCTAGACTGCCAATTTGAGCTCTCGGGAGCCGATGGAATAGTACGTTCCAGTCAAGTAGAACAAGAAGGAAAAACAAAACCAGGACAAGCAGTTGACTGCATATGGACAATTAAAGCTACTCCAAATGCTAAGGTGGGTTTCATTCATATCATTCAGCATATAATGGGTTTCCAAGTCATTAGTAACAGGTAATAGTCACTAGCTGTAATTTGCATAATGTCTCACTTTCACTGAAATGAATTATGTATCAGTGGCTTAGGAAATCCAGATAGAGGATTGTTTCTGAAATTAAACTTATACAGCAAGTCCACAGTGTTGTCTTCCTGTTATTTGAAACTTAAAATATAAAATAACTGTGAAAAATGGTTAAGCAACAATTTTCAAGGGCGTTTGACTTGGACTCTGGTTTTATTGGAAGACTGCAGGCAAAAATGCTGGCTAACAGCTTTGATAAATTCCAGTAAATCTTGCTGCCAAGGTTTAAAATTTTGCTTCTGGTGGCTTATTGGAGAATTCAGTTCTCTTCAAAGTCAACAGAACACGTACCTGCTCCTCCCCAGTCTAATTCACAGTCCAGCACCTTAAAACCCACTTTCATCAGCAGTCTGAGCTAAAATGAAAGGCTTTACCTGGAAACAGCTGAGGAATTATCACTCTCTCTCTCTCTCTCTTCTGACTTAGCTATAGGATCACACCCTCTTAAAGTGCCACAATAAAATTTGCTAGAGCTTTTCTGCCCAAGCTCTAAAGGGGCATATTAGCTGCTCAAGCAAAAAATCAGCATTAGTTACCTAGGTACCTGATATTTATGATTGTGCTTGCAGAACTAGAGACTGCTTACAAAAACATCACTATCTCATGCTCATTAAAAACAACTTGAGCTTTATTGTTGGGCAGAGAGAAGGATAAAATCCTAATCATAATTCCAAAATACAGTAGCTATACCTGTTTAAAAAAAAAAACCCACCACCTATGTTTCAGAATCATATACCTGTTAATTACTTGAGTTGCACTGAAGAATATTTTTTCTCCATATAGCATACACATCTGTAATTTTGCTTCTGTATGTGTATTAAAGCACATACCACTGCTTGCATGTACGTAAAAATTAAAAAAATATTTTTAAGCAGTAGCTGCCAAGATGACAAACCTACTCTATGCCTTCTTACACACTCCTAATAGTTAACTAACCAGCCCTATTCATGAACTTCTAAATTAGTTCTGAAACAGCAGCCTAAAAGATGTTAATAAGAGGACAAGACAAGAAAGAAACTAAAACTCCATTAATATATTTGAGCCTTTGAGGAAGTGACTCAACTCCCAAGAGCCCTATACTAGTCTAAGTAATAGCAGCAGTTCTTCCAGAAACAATAACAAAACCATTTTCTCTCTACATTGCCACTTGAGTGCACCAGGTCTTATGCTTAAGTATTTTAATAAATTATTGAACGTTGCCAGAAGGCAGAGTTATCGTTGGGTCAGTCCTGAGATTAGATCATCTTAGATCATCATCCTAAATTATTGTGTTAAAACATCACAGGAAAATAATTCTTAGTATTCTGACAGCGGTTTCTCAAGCTTCAATTCTGGCAGAATTATTATGATAAAATCTATTAGATCTGATATGGTGCAGTCTCTTCAGAAAAATAAGCATAGACACTTTTAATGTCATCAATTTGATTTTGTAATAAAAATAAATTTTTAAACTGACACAACTGCAGCAATGAAAGATTTTTAAAATCTGCATAACAGATATTTAATAAATTACCTCAGATTTCAGAAAATTACTAGAATAATCAATAGAATCTAAGAGTGAAGACCTTTTGTATTTACTTGCCTAACACCCTAACCAGAAGTTTTTGCAGAGCTGAGCTCTTTTAATGGAATTATTCCTTTGTTTTCATATACAGAATAGCTCTACTAAAAGTGTGCTAATTTATTTTTAGCTTCCATTGTAATTTCACAGCAGATACATAAAGTCAATCATTAAATGAAAATACCATCTCTCAGCCCAAATACTAGCACGCACAGCTCACACCCATGTTGTGAGATAAGACATCAATGGAAGACAGGTTCTCAACGTAGCTGAGAATTTCCAGCAGTAAATCTAAAAAAGACAGCGGGGGGGGAAATATATACTGAAAATCACAAAACAGTGAGATGCAGCATGAGATAATATGGCACAGGCTGCACCTTTTCACAGAATGTGCAAGGGGAGACAGCGCTGGCAACCTGCCTCTGGAAAACACTGGAAAGGAAGAGCCAGGGTGTACAAAGTGTCACCTGTCTTTCACTGTGCTCTTTTACCATGTTTTCAATAGAGCCTGTTAAGTGTATGTGGAGAGTATCTTTTTTTTTCCCCCACACAAAGGTTTTGTTTTAGTGAATTCTTTAAAATTCAGTTTTAAAAGGTTTGGCACTAGCTGAGGTTAAAAGCGAGATATGGCAAAAGGGCAGAAAAATAGGTAATATAGCGGTAGTAAGCATGGTATTCATCTACCCTGTCTTCCCTGCTTCACAAACTAAACAAGAGTTTGCGATTCTTGTCACTAGGCAGATGCACGAAAAAGCGCACTGTACAAAAGGGCTTTAGCATCCATAGTATCAGCCAGAGAGCTAATTGTAAACTGTACAAAAAACACGTACAGTCTAGACCCAAGCTTATCTGAGGAACATACTGAAGACTTCATGGATAGAGGAGGAGCACCTCTTCTCCCATGGAGCAGGAGACCTCAGCCTCCACATGGATAGATTTCTTCTCTGTCAAAATAATGTCCATCTGAGGAATTTTCAAAGTTTAAAGATGGACTTTGCAGCATGCTTAGGTGACTTAGTTACGTATCTCATCAACTTTCACTAGAATTTTGAGAATTCCAGTAGAACCATTCAAGAGATTAAAAAGCCCTATGATCTTTTCATGTAATTCTAACTGAATTACAATCTTCCCCAAGTTTTCTGCTCCAGCAAAGTAAGTTATTTGCTTACTCTTCAAGTACCATCTTGGTCTTCTAATTTCCTTGCTGCATATGTTCTACCACATATGCTGCCTTCTCTCGGATTAGATTTCTGCTTTTGGAGGAATTAAGATTAGCTTAAATTTATTAACTCTTCCTAGATAGCCAGCTTACTTTTCTCCTGCTTCCATTTTTATTCAAATTACTCCTGACTTCATGGTTTGTCTTCCATAACACTGCTCTGATTCAGTAATCAGCTTTCATTCTGAAGCAACAAATTTTAATTTCCTTATTTTACTTCAGAGTTTTTCTGACTAGACTCCTTCCCTTATATTTTAACATTGTTTTCATGAATTAAAAAGAAAGAACAGTCAAAACACCATTAAAACTCTTTCAGCACATTTATGTGTTTCTTGTATCTCTTCTAGAGTAGTAGACTGCACATTTAGCAGAGCTGCTTAGGGCTTTAGCAAGTGTGTTGCTTTTTACTTTTTTTCCCCAAGGGGAGCAGAAATATATCAGAGTAAATTATTAAGTAAAGATTGTTTTGGGGAGGGGGAAGAATTGAAACAGATACTTCAGACAAATTTCACATAATACTCCGCATTGACATTTAATGAGAAAAATACAAGTTTAAAAGTGTTGTGAATTGGGAGTTACACATGTGTAAGGGGACAAAACATCCTATTCAAGATTTGCTAAGAAAGAAAACTGTCTTCTCTGTATTACTTTTCCTAGAGACATTAATTTCTCTTTTCTAACAGATTTATTTGCGATTTCTCGACTATCAAATGGAGCATTCAAATGAATGCAAAAGAAACTTTGTTGCTGTATATGATGGAAGTAGTTCTATTGAAAACCTGAAGGCAAAGTTTTGCAGCACCGTAGCAAACGATGTCATGCTGCAGACTGGGACAGGTGTGGTACGAATGTGGGCAGATGAAGGCAGTAGACTAAGCAGATTCAGAATGCTGTTCACTTCATTTGTGGATCGTAAGTAGATTTTAAAGTGCCTATTTCTCCTGGTATCAGGGTACTTCAGGTATTTTAGGAAAAGCATCAGCTATATATTATGCACCAGGAACACACAGAAAAGGTTGTTGCTGTTTCCTTCACATACTAGCAGGTAAATTAAATATTTGCTTTATTACAGTTATAAGCATGGTTCCTGAAGAAAGGCATTCCTCCATTCTTAAAAGGTTTATTTTTCATTTGAATTCAGTAATAATACAGCCCTAAGCTACGGCCTTCTCACAAGGAGTTCTACAAATGAGCACAGACTTACTTAAAAAGACAGCAATGGGACTGAAGTGTGCTCTCCCACTAGCCGCCATCTTCCAGTTCCCTGCCAGACACCACAATAGCCTCTTCTCAAGCCCACACTGGATGTTCAGAAGGCTAGAAAACACGTGTGACCCTGCAGAGTCTGGATCTTCTTCCTGTCCGCAGCCCTACCTTCAATTTTGGATCTGGAACTACACCCACTCCAGCTACACCTAAGCTGCTACCTCCTTCTCAGCCGCATGTGGCTCTAAACGATCCCACACACACTCCCTTGGCAAAGCCCAGTTGTGTTGCACAACCATGGATAAGCAGTTAAATCCAAATTTATTTAAGAAGGCTATATTAAAAGCAGAGCTGTAAATGCAATCTGGATTTCTGTTTGGATTCCATAGCCTGGGTTAGAGATAGTCTTCATTCCCATTGTAAATTAAGATGTTTCTTGAAAGCATGCTTTTTGTGAGGTTTTCTTCTAAGTGCTTTCTCTCTGAACTAAATGGAATTTTGTTGCCTCACATATTTACAAAGGACGACATTGTCCACATTGCAGAACCTGAAAGTAAGTGGCATCTTCAACACAAAAGTAGACTAAGTTTAGAACTGCAGAGCAGATCTGAGATACATGGGGAGAGCTGAATAAAACATATCTGCCACTTCAGGAAATCAGACCTATGCTTGTGCTAGAGGTTTTCAAAAAGTTCTGCTTGAAGAATAAATAGTACAGATATGCTGTCAAAGAAATAACTTTTTTGACAGAGCTAACATGTCTATAGCCAGTCCTGAAACGGATCCTGGTCACCACCTTGCAAAAAAGTTCACGTTACAGGTAACAAGTAGATTTTATATTCTCTTCCATAAAACAGTAAAGTTTAGCACAGGAGAAGAGTTACTTTCTGTAAAACAATCTTTCTGAAGTAACAGAGACTTATAAGAGAAATAGCTTATTGCTTTCTTTGCATACATGGTAGTAAGGAACAATTGCATATTTCAAACTAGTCTATTGTTTAACCTACAACAGGCATTTAATAAACTTTAGATACTGTGAATTTCAGTAAATGCCAGTTTTAAGCACAACTTGCAAAATTTAACTGCTTTTCCAGTAGCTTTTATTTCAACACAATTATTAATATTAGTGATAGTGCAAGTTATTCCAGCTTTCAATCTAGAAAATGCTATGAACTTTGCCAGGGAAATTATCCATTTATGTTATAAATATTGGAGTGGTTTCTTTTTTTTGTTCCATTTGGGTTTGGGGGGTGGGGTTTGGGGGGTTCTTTTGAGTGTAAGAGGCTGAAACAGTAACTACTCCTAAAGCTAGATAATTTTCAAACTTATGATTTTAAAGCGGCTCAAAAGTCATCAGCAGAAGAAAATCTGCAAAGGTACGTAGTTATTCTTATTTATCTTCTAACCTGAGATACTGTCTTTCTTGGATAGGGTAATTCAAAAGTAAGTGTCTGAAAAATGTTTCATGTATCTTTAAATAGTCTAGTGATAAGCAACTTTTCTAACTGAAAAAAGTGAATCCGTGCTTATCTTATTTTCAGATCATTAAGCTATTTTTCCTCTTCTACCTTACTAATGATTTGTAATTATATGAAGCCAACCATAAAAACAATCAATATTTCTGAAAAGATTTACATAAATGAACTAATTTTGCATGACAGTCACCTAACACACTCCTAGTGCTGCTTGCAGGTTTGACTAAGTAATTCAGCTAACAGCAATGTTAAAAATCAATGTATTTGATTTCTGGCTTGATTCAATACATGAATAATGCTAGATAGAAAGAACACTATGAACATTGCACCAGTCTTAGGCAGCTGTTATGAGAAGAGTCCAGCTATGTCCTTGAAGTCCTGGACTGGAACCGATCAGTCATTGTGACTTTTAGACTTTGTACTCTGCAAGTGACAAACAAAAGGAAAACGAAGTCCATTTGGCCCGTCTTTATGAACTTGTGAACAAAAGCCATCCCCCAAAAATGTTAAAGAGACTACACAGGAATGTAAAATAGAGACTGTGCTCGCGGATGGAGGAGCAGCAGCAGAATGCATCATCCAAAAATACAGAAACATGAAAAAAATTCCCCTGTTCAGGGAAATAAGAAAGGGAATGCGTCTTACATCGTAATTCTTCCCTCTGTGCCTCCAAAAGAACTACAACTCCATACAGATCCATATTGAAACACCAGCAGATACACATGGATCCATGACAACCACTGTGGACACAGATTTCATAGATCCTCCTTTATCTCACAGTCAGAAATATTTTAGTAGATATTGTAGCCTATTACATACATAGCCTTTTTAAGCTATTCTGTTTAAATGATGATCCTGTTTATCCTTTATAAAGGAAAGCTTGCGCAATCTTTCTTTCCAAATTCAGAAGGAAAAACTACTTAAGTCTTTTCTCCCCACGTGTGCTAATAAGGCCGAGAGCCTTTTATTTTGTAGTCTGCATCATGAACATTTCCATTTTAACTATTAGCCTTTCTCCCACTATGTATGTATAATGGTTAGAAATGTTGAGTACATCTTCCTGTTTCTATGAATTGCTTTAGGTTGTCTGGGATACTGGTTTTCATACCTAGATTGATACTCCTGCATAAGTTTTAGCCTATCATCATTTAGTCCTTCAGGGAGAAGGTGTGAATCCCTTTGGAGTTTAATTGCAGCATAATTTCAGACAATGCTTACATCATGATGTATCATGATTTCATATGACGCTTACATTATGCCTTAAACCATTAATGATGTGAATTGACTTAGCATCCACTCTTGATAGATCGTAGGTGATAGTTTGGCACACCGACAACACAACAACCAGGTTCCTTTATATTTTCTTTCCTGAGCAGTAGCAGTTGGTGAAACAGTTAAAGACATAGTTCAGTCTGAATGTAGGAAAATGTTTGATTTTATTCTTCCATGTACCAGGTAATTGCATGGTTGAACTTAAAAAGAAGTCCCACTGAATCATGTCCACTGAAAAATGGTTTGGCCTTTGAAACAAAGAGGGCATAAAACATTCTTGAAAAAAAAAGGCTGTTGATTTAGAAACCTAACTAGAAAGTCTCTCTGGTCGGAGAGGATCGAGGAGAGCAGGTTTCCCAGGACCATATGCAGTCAGTTGCTGAACATGTCCAAGGATGGAGACTCCACAACCACTCAGGGCAACCCATACCAGTCATGTCAGATGCTCCAAGTCCTTATCTTCATGCCATTTCCCTGGATGCCCCCATCTCTCTCTTGTACTGGTCACCCCAACACTGAGCATAGCACTCCAGATGTGGTCTCACCAGTGCTGAGCAGAGGGGAAGAATGACCTCTCTTGACCTAGTGGCAATGCTCTTCCTAATGCAGCTCAGGATGCTGTTGGCTTTTTTTCCTACAAGGATGCATTGATGCCTCACATTCCACTTTTTCTCCACGAGGACTTCCAAGTATTTGTCTACAGAGCTGCCTTCCAGCTGGCTGGCCCTCAGCCTGTACACATATGTGGAGTTACTCCTCCGCAACTGCAGGACTTTGTGTTTCTCTTTGTTGAACTTCATGACCTTCCTGTCGACCCATTTCTCCAGCCTGTCTCAAATGGCAGCACAACTGTCTGGTCTATCAGCCACTCCTCCCAGCTTTGTAGCATCTACAAACTTGCTGAGGGTGCAGTCTGTCCCAACATCCAGGTCATTAATGAAGCAGTTAAACAGCATTGGCCTCACTATTCACCCCTGGGGTACACCAATAGTGATGGCCTCCAGCTGGACTTTGTGCCTCTAATCACAACCCTTTAAGCCTGGCAGTTCAGTCAGTTTTCAGTCCACTTCACTGTCCTCCTATGTAGTCTGTACTTCATCAGTTTCTCTGCAAGGATATTACGGGATACAATTTTGAAAGCCTTGCTAAAGTCAGGGTATACAACATCCACCGCTTTCTCCTCATCTAAGCTAGTAATTTCATTGTAGAAGGCAATCAGGTTGGTCAAGCATGATTTCCTCGTCATAAATCCATGCTGACTACTCCCAATGACCTTATCCCTGATAATCTTGGAAGCCGTTTCCAAACCTATTTGCTCTATCACCTGCCCAGGCATCAAGGGAAGCTCCCCTCTGTCCCATTCAGTAGTAGGCCCATATTTTCCTTGGCCTTCCTTTTGTTGCTGATATACACTTGAAGAAGCCCTTCTTGTTGCCTTTCATGTCCCTCACCATATTCAACCCCAGGTAGGCTTTGATTTTCCCAGCCCCGTCCCTGCATACTCACTGTGTCTGTATTCCTCCCAGGGCACCTGACCCTGCTTGCACCTAACGTGACATCTCATTCATAACTGATAACAATGGGTGTGATCTATACCTTCCTAAGCATTGGTCATATTTTAAAGCAGTGTTCAGACTAAATCTACCTTCCAAGCAGTTAAATTCTCAACTCAGTTCAGCGAGGAAGATAGATATGAGTTACTATGACATTTTTAAACACTGAAATTACATAGATAAACTCTTCCAAAATACACTCTAAATACATTCTGTATTATGTTAAAGTACTACAGCACTTGCACTACAATTAAAGAACAAACTTTCTATATGGAACTTCCTGCCTGGTTGCCAGGGATTAAGCAGTAACAGGAAGCTAATACAAAAGCTTAAAACCATTGAGCATAAGTTACCAAAATTCAGTGGAGTAAGAAATGGGAAGACAACGCATATTAGATTTAGGGAATGCAAATTCAGAATTAAAGGTTTGAATTTTCTTTTCTCTTAGGCATAACTCCTCTTTTTGTCACTGAGACTCTGAAGCCTAACAGAAGGACTGAGAAACACGCTGTATTTAGGACTAGTCACCCTCCTCTGCTCTACCCTTTGGGTGCTGCATTATGTTTCAGAGATCCAGACCGCTCAAGAATACATTATTTCTATGAAACCAAATAGTAGAATGTCTATCACACATCTTTGCTGTTTTAATATATAACTGACTCCACTAATAATAGATATTTCTATCATAAAAATACCACATTACTGAGACAGAAAGGAAAAAATCAATTTCTTGCCCAGTGCCCTGAATTCATAAAGAATTCCCTATGTAGATTATACAGCATCCTGAAAAGAATTACTACTTTTTTTTTTTTTTAATATATTTTTCTAATGTCAAGGAGCTATAACAAACATTCACGGAAACAAAAATCTTTAGGGCAACTTTCCAGTTAATTTATTTCTTCAAATTTCTAACTATATACAGACAGATAGATAGATAAAAAGCTAAACTGTACTCTCTCTTAATCCCTGCATTAGCTCTAATAGGAGGATCTGAGAGCTTTGATTCACAAGCAGGGATGACTTAGATGCCTCCAGTTACTGAAATCTCTTGCAATTACTGAAACAGTCCTCCACAAGCTGAAATCTGATTTGCCTTAAGATATTAATGGGCTCTAAAACGCAGGTGTTCAGGAACTGCTTCACAACCAGCTATACCATCTACATAGCAGATGCACAGCAGATTGAATAAATATATAATTGATGGTGAGAATGCGATTTTTAAGTACTAAGTTTTCGAAGACAAGTATTAAAGCCTTCTTCCATTATCTGTGTTGTGTGACTGTCTATCTGCTACCCATTTTGAGTAAGAATTTTTTTTTTTTATAATACACCTGAAAGCAACTACATAAAGAAAGAGTAAATCGTCCGATAATTAGTGACATGCGGGAAAAGTGATTGTGTTTGAAACAAAGATAAAGAATGAGTATGCATGTCAAAAAAAACCAACAGGAATTTACTAGTTTTATTGCAATGCATCAATGACTGAAAATTCCTAATGTTTTCTTTCTCTTCTCCTGCAGCTCCCTGCTCAGGCAACACTTACTTCTGCCATAGCAACATGTGCATCAATAATTCTTTAGTCTGCAATGGCATTCAAAACTGTGCATACCCTTGGGATGAAAATCACTGCAGAGGTGAATATAGTGCAAAGTATAGCCTTTATGAGCTAGGCTGGTCAGTTTGCCTTTCAAGGAAGTCATGAAATATGTTTTTCCTGGAAATATGCTGAAGACAGCTATTCTACTAATCTCAGGAAGGTGTTCCAAGTTTTTATTTAAACTCAGGAGACATGTAAGCATCCTGAATATTGATCTTACTGCTTTATAATTAAATTTCTTCCTCTTCAGCATATACTCTATTTTAAAAGGATGTCAGCTTAATAGGAAATAGAATTTTATTTGCCAGGTTGCATCCTGTCCATTTCTAAACTTTAAATGAAGCAAGGATCATAGGGACAGGTAATACCTTTTATTAGAGAAAAAATATAGAGCTGGAAAAAGACAGACAAGTCTTCAAGCACAAAAGGCCTTTCTCAGGGCTGAAATAGAAGCAATCTTAAAAGACAAATACAATCTTAAAACATTTGTTTTAAGTTGTTAATCACAGACTATCTCAGAGTAAATACAGCTGCTGCATATGGTGTGAGAAAGGATGGGAGGAAGAAGGAATTGTTAGGAAGCAAGAAGTCATTGCTTATGGAAAACAGACACATGTAAATCACTGCTTCTAGAACATGGGGTAGGGGAGTATTGTTTAAACCATCACAACTACAGTAAAGACTTGTTTCAATATCAGGTTTTGTAGGAAAAATTCTCATGATTTGAGGAAATTGTTATTCTGCTAAAGCACAAATATATTCACCTGTGCTTCAATAATAACTGAATTTTCATAGTTGGAACAAAACCAGTTTAAGGTCAACAACTTTTATTGCTAAAAGAAAACAATAATCAACAAGCTTGAGCTTGGGGTTTTTTGACAAACAGAATGGCATAAATAGGTTTGAACACAGAACTCCTGAAAGATTTAAATATGTACTCCATTTCAAAGAGAAGTTGACCCTGCAGGAAGGGTCAAAACTTTCTCTATGGAAAATCCTGAAATAAAATGGCTTTTCAACACACAAATCCAGCTTAAATTTTTTATTAAATAAATATTAAAAAAACTACTTTGAAATTGCATTTCGGGCAAACAAAAAAATTCACACCACTAATAAATACTCTAATGCAAGGTATATTATGGCAGCTTTCCAGTTAACAAAACTGATCCATAACTCCCAAGTTTTCGATGTAGAAGCAAGCTTCCTCTAAACAATCTTTGACAATATTCAATGTTCCCTCTTAAGTGCAATTTCTAGATCTCTTTCCCATCTCTGCCAACTGCTTTCTAGAATCTTGCCTAGAATCCACACTTCACTTACATACTGCAGTATTTTAAAAATGAATGCCATAAAAACCGTATCACAATGTGAAGAAAGTCTTTCCCAATATTTGTAAATTGCTGTATCTGGTGCTGAATAATCTACCATGTTTTATGTTGAATACAATCTAAATTCTGCTTTAATACTTGCAGAGCAGATAACTAAGAGGCAGCTGAAGACTGGATCCATATTGCCAGCTAAGGTAGACTGATGCAACCAAATGAGCAGTATCTAGCCTTAAAAAAAAAAAGTTTCTCACAATTGTGCTCAATTCCTGCAGGCACCCAGAGTTCTCATTTAGACCACATCAATAGCTACCTAAATCTGAGCATATTGTGACCTACCTTATGCCTAAGCCCAGTGACACAAAAATTGATAGAAAAGTCGGTTGTGTGCAGTTTCTTTTAAGAGACTGGAGAAGACATCACCTTTTGCATAACCACTTTTTGATTAGAACATCTTCCAAGAATTAAGAAGCCTAGATGCAGATGAGAGAACTGCCATAGCACTGAAATTCATACCTCCCACAAAGTATGCTAACACTAAGATCTAGCTAGGCAGGACAAGGGGAGATATCCTCCTTCACATTAAAGGTATAAATGTAACTCGGAGTAAACAGTCTAAGAAGAACTTTATTTCAGACGTAACTTCTTATTAGCCACTTCCTTGGGACTCTCTGTTTAGTATATGGATTGTTTCAAATAGCATATGATGGTATATAACTCTCTCCATGCACTGTGTGTGGAGTACTTAGGTACATAACACACATATCCAGATGCCGGGAGCCAGATATCTGAAAATAATATGCAACATTTAGGCTACTACATTTTCTTCTACACAGTCTTAAATGCTTTTCTCCCCCACTAGCAGATGTTGCAGAGTCTCAGTGTAGAATTGTTTCAGTCCCCTAGGACAAGTACATTTATAGAACAAATCCAACTGGAAAATTTTAATCTTCAAATAAGAATTTTAAGTATGGAAAACCATCTTGTTCTGATGCTGCCATCTTGTGTGTTTTCATATGAAGTACTAGTCAAAAGTGCCATATGATTTGGGTTGGTTAGTTGCCCCTCGCCCCCTTCCCCTTTCTTTTTTCCAACTGACTTGATTACTGGACTGTTAATACTGGAATGTATCTATGCTAAAGCTCCCTGTGTTGAAATAGGTATAACAGACTTATGCAATAGACACAGTCATTAAGTTTCCAAGAGATGTGAAAACAAATAGTACAGTCAATCTTACATCATCACTATGATAGTATTCACTTTTAAAGAAGAACTAGATAATTTTAAATCTGTGTTTCCTTCTGACATCAATGGGAATGTTACCAGCAGGAGCAACCCATGGTAAGAGAAGCATCATCTGTAGCTGTATAAACTCCTATTTAACTCATGGATTTTGGAATATGAACTGATCAGTATAGGTTCAGGATTGAAGCCACATCCCAACTGAGTCAGCATGCACTGGCCACAGAGTTCCACCTACCACTGAATTATCATATGGTAGCCACTAATGCAGACAGGGAATTGGACTTGCTGAACAAAAGCACAGATCCAGTATGATAAATCCCATTGACATACAGGTCTAGTCTCCAGTGCCATTAAGTCATTTTGTTAATACAGCACTTATATGGCAATCACAATACAGCTTGCTTTGTTTTAATACATGATCAAAAGTGTGGAAAATAATAAAAGCCATATCATAATCCTTGTTTTTTCTTCGCAGAAAAGAAAAAAACTGGATTGTTTGAACAAATCACCAAAACTCATGGAACAATCATTGGCATTACGTCAGGGATAGTTTTAGTTCTTCTCATCATTTCAATTCTAGTACAAGTAAAGCAACCTCGCAAAAAGGTTATGGCTTGCAAGACTGCTTTCAATAAAACTGGTTTCCAGGAAGTATTTGATCCTCCACATTATGAACTATTTTCACTAAGGGACAAAGAAATTTCTGCAGATTTGGCAGATTTATCAGAAGAACTTGAAAACTATCAGAAAATGAGACGCCCTTCAACAGCTTCCAGATGCATCCATGACCACCACTGTGGCTCCCAAGCCTCTAATATAAAACAAAGCAGGACAAACCTCAGCTCCATGGAACTTCCCTTTCACAATGATTTTGCACAGCCTCAACCAATGAAAACATTTAATAGCACATTCAAGAAAAGTAGTTACACTTTCAAACAAGCGCATGACTGCCCTGAGCAAGTCATAGAAGACCGGGTGATGGAGGAGATTCCATGTGAAATCTATGTTAGAGGAAGAGAAGATACGGCACAAGGTTCATTATCTATTGACTTTTAATTTCCTCGTGAAGGTGGTATCAGTGTATATACAAGATGCTTGTGTATAATGACAGTGTATATATTAAACGTGTACTATATGCAGCGTGTGAGATGCACACACTTTTAGCTTATTATACTTCATTTAAAAAAAACAAAGTCTTCGTAACTAAATCTTGCTGACAAATGGTGGATTTCCTCCTATCTTCCCAAGCTACCTATCTAGTGGAGGAGTAAGACAGAGACTTTGCATGGAAATTATAACTTAAGGATATTGGAAGAAAAAAAAAAACCAACAACTAATAATAATTGAACACTGAAAACCATGACTACTATTCTCTTCCTTATATAATTTTCTCTTCTTTAGATGTCTGCTTTTCAAGACAATATTAATACCTCAGTTACATAAATAAAAGTAAAGTGCACCACGTGTATGTCAACATAGGTGTCTTATTGTATTTGTCAAATTGAAAGTAAAGTTAGTGTTAAGTGCCAGTTAAGACTCAAGAATTATGTTACAGCCATCTGTTTCATCTTGCCTACCATTTATATTGTCTTTAATCATCAGTTCCTCACTCGATGCTTTGTGAGATATAAGTGTAAAGGATTACTGCCTTTTAAAAATACTGAGTTATATTAATTTTAGTACATTTGGAAATATATAATCTTTGCAGCTTTTGGTTAAAACACAAGTAAGTACTCATGTTATTCTAGATGCATACTTAAACCAGTTTTCTTTCAAGACAGTTTAGGATTTTAAAATATTCTGCCATATATTACAGATCCATAGGGCTCACTGATTTCACAGCTCTGTAGTTAGAAAACAATTTTGTTCCTGCGTTTTCCAAGTATTTACATAAATAGACTGTACTGTACATTCGTCTCTTAAAATAGCCTTTTAGTCCTTATTGCAGCCAATCTTCCCTACTGAAATCAGTGATGATACTTTTAGTTCATGTCCTACTTGCCTGGAGAGAACTGCTCTAAGGTCTGTGTGATTACCAGGTATATGAAGATACTGGAAACAAAGAGAAATCACAAAGCAACTCTTATTAACCCTTATGGAACCCTTCTTGTGCCCCTTGTTTCCACTTGCAAAATTGCACATTTCATACCTTTTTTAATGGTGGTTTGGACCTAATTTTAAAATTTTTACAATATAGAAAAATTTTTAAAATATAATAATTCTCATTGTGGTTTTTAAACTTTTTATATAGTTTGATACTGTACAGACTATTTATTCAATCAAAGTCTAGCACCTGTACAGCAGGCTTGTTTCAGTGTCCCTATTAGCAGCTCTGAATAACATGCAGTGGCCGCTGCGTACATCGCAACTTGCCAAGAATACTTAATATGACTTCCACATTAGCCTACATTTTATTCCCTGGTTTGTTTGGGTTTATTCTAGTATTTCATTTACAAGAAGCCTTTCACTAAAAGTGACATACCAGCTTGCACTGGGCATATCCTTTATTTGCAAATGTATGTAAAACCATAATGTTTGTTGTGCTGGCTGTAGTATAAAAAGATATATATATACACCACCCTAGCAACTGAAAAAACTTTCTTTAAAATAAAAGATGAACAACAGCTGTAATTGCAGATTTTCATTAGAATGACAAAGAAAAAAAATTTTTTTACAAATGCTTAGAACGTAAGAAGTTTAAAGGGGAAAAAAAAGAAGAAGGGAATTGCATGTCTTCAACACTTCCCAAGTTCAAAATTAACCCTGTCTGATGTCTAGAAAGAACTTAATCAGAAGCTCACAGATCAGACCCTTAAGGCTGTATCCTGGTGTCAGTTTTTGTGCTGGTCCCAGTATGTCTTTCAATTTGAAAGAATTAAAATGGGAATTAGTTTTAGATGCACTTCATGCAGAAGATGTGTTAAAAAAATCTAGCTAATTTTGACTTGAAAATTTTTGAATATTTAATTAAGACACTTCTTGACAGATTTCATTTACTTCTCATTGATTTCAGTAATAAGTATCTCACCATGACCTATATGATACAGAATGTTATTTGTGAGAGTCTGTTAGTTCCAGATTCTTTCAACAAGTAATATGTAGTTTTACACAGGTCATTTTTGTCCGTATAACTCTTGTAAGTGCTAGGTTTGCATGATTAAGTTTTCTTTTTAAGGTATATTTGTCTATGTGATAAAAATGTGATCCCTATTCTTTCTGAAATTATGTTGTCTTTGAACAGTAAACCTGTAATAATAAAACAAATAGCAAGCCTGCAAAGCCCAAGTCTGTGGAGAAAAGGGGGAAAAGCTCTATTGAAGAATTTCCCAAACAGCATGAATAATATTCAGTTGTAACTTTTTGATTACATGGTCAGAACACAGCTGCTTTTTGGCTACCCCAGAGCACATAGGTGAGCTCCCATAACCAGTCATGTCTTCTGTGCGTAACTTTTTCCAATATCCCCAAGCGCAGCTCTACGAGCTTCACTTTCCCCCCTTCCTTGCTTTCTAATCTGTTTTTTTTGTCTTTAGCATAAATAAAGACAAGATACTGCTGCCTAGTTAACACCTGCTCCTGATTCCCAATACAGACCAAAAACTGTCCTGGAGGGAGCTTTTCAGTATTTCTGTACTAGCAGACCCAGCCCTTACTGTGGCAATAGCTGTACACTTGAACAGATCTGAGAGAGAAACCCAAGGGAATAATGATTTCTATAGGCTTCTATAAATAGTAAGGGCAGGAAAATGAAATATCAGTGCTTGTTTTATCAGAAGCAAGGTGAAATTAACACCAAACCTAAAAGTCTGAAAGGAAACCTTGTGCATGGTGTGTTTAAAAAAATGTCTATACATCTCACTGTAATGTTGGGTTCAGTTACCTAGCTGTGCTTTAAGAAATGAGTGGTAACTATTAGAACCATAATTCCACTTCCAGCAGAATCAAATTCCCTTCACTACAGAGAAAAACTAACTGGGTATACTGCTTGAGTATACTGCACTTCAGAGTGCAGAAAGCTTACGTTTTCAGCAAAAGAATCTAGTTATTAGTTTTGCAGTCTCAATCCAGTTGGAGCTGGTGTTGTGGTCTTTAAACTTTTCTTTGGCATTAGTGAAAAACACCACCTGTCATACTCTTGCACTATCTAAGTACTGTTAGCATATTTCCATTGTCTCCATCTTAAATCCATACATTTCTAGGAGCATCCTGATTTTGCACTCAAATTGTACCCCTATCTCTGATCCCTCTGTTGACACTGAATGCACATAAGCAAAGATACATTCCCCAGACACACATTGACCAGGAAAAGGCCAACAGCATTAACTACTTTTTGGTATTTATAATTAATTTTTACCTTTTATCATAGTAGCTTAGACATCAAACTATCTAACATGAAGAAGGACTTGTTGTTGATAAAAGTTGTAGAAGTAGACCTACAGCCAACATGAAAATAAAAGTGACTGAGAACCATGATTCTTGAGAGTTCTGTAAGGAGACATCTGCATTTACAGATACCATGACAGTGATATAGGAAACTCAGACTTAACACTGTTACTGACTCTGAAATGTTTCCGTGATCACAGAAATACTAATTTGTACTTAAAATGCATGAGATTCTCTTGTCTGCTATAGGCAACATGTCCCTCATAGTGCATACAAATTATAATGGTATAAGAATTACTGTCTATTTTTACTAAACCAATACAAAGAAAGGTTATGAAAAGAGCTGTCATTGACGTACAAAAAAAGGTGCTTGTCATGTGAACACTTCACAGAATTTTTAAGTCATTAAAATACACTTTGTTTTGTTTTTTACTTGGTACAGAGAATTCTGTGCATTACCAGCAAATCTCCTGCTAAATGAGGAAAAAAGGCTTGCCTTATTTTCAAATCAATTTAGTCCTCAAATAAGAAGATTCTTATATCAGTGATTGTAACAACATTTAAGTTTCCAAACTATTTAAGTATAATCCGTTATCTAAAAGGCTACCAACAGCAAAAGTAATAAAAAAAGATCTTAACACCTATACCTGAGAAGCCAAGAGTAAACTACTGCTTGAAATGAAACAACTTAATTCATATGGATATACTGAAACATATCTACAGTTTGATCTTCCTGTATGGTCAGTCTCTATATATCTGTTCACAGTAAAACTCAGTCAAATCCATTTACTTTTACATGTCCTTATTTCAAAGTTTATGTATGAGTCCTATGATTGCTCAGAAGGTCTATAGACTGTTTACCAAAACAAGATTCCTAATTTATGTCAGCCTGAAAGATAAGCTGATTTTACATTATTTGAGATCACAGTGTTACAACTGAATATTATTTATAACGGGAGAAAGGATTTTAAAAATCAAAAACCTTTGAGATGATTCATGCTTTGAAAATGAGTATTTATAGCACCTATCTCAATCTAACAATATAAAAGCTACTATCTTTAAGACTTCTGTTCCTGTGCTTTCCAGTGACCAACTCTGTATAGGGTAAATCCTCCCTATAAATACACAAATAAATCACATGTCAATATGCTCTAATACGTGGTTCTGTGTCACCATGGAACTGCAAGTATATTTTCACATTCAAATTCTTTCGCTACACTCCATTTTACAGAATCAGCTTAACAAAAATATGTTTTCCATCTGTTTCATAGATCAACACCAACAACAGTCATTTGTCAATTGTCAGCTTGTTCCCTCTTATCTAGCTATTGAAAATAATCTACCATATACCAGATAAAACAGCTTAGTTTTTATAAATCTGTTCTTACACAGCCAGGCTGAGGGAAAAAAAGTAAGAACTTGATGTCTTTGGATGTTTTTCCATTACCATCACATAATTTATGGTAATAGTTTTTATACTGAAGAAACCCATAAAATTTATGTCAAATTCTGTTCAAGAAAAAAAAAGTATTATAATAAACCAAATAATAGGTACCTAAGACCTACACACCTCAAAATTCAAAATAATTTGCTGTTTTGGAATCTAAATCATGCCTTCTGAAGGGCAAGAGCTGTCAATGCTGCCGGTGTACTTAAAGGATGCACGTCATACCATCTTCTCTGAAAAACTACTTCTCCTCCCAAACACAGAT